AAACCCAAAATAAAGAAGATAAAGAACACCAAATTTTAATGTGGAAAACCCTTCAAATCGAAGGTAAAAACCACGGGATAACAATGATCCAAAAAGCTCCACTATAACAATAAGAGGGTTACACAAGTTCTCCAAATTGGCTACACAACAAGTGCCAAACACGGAGCAACAAGAGCAACAACTAATCAATTGAAGAAAGAGGGGAATCCACAAAACGAGGCTACTGTTCGAGGCTCGAAATCAGATGCTACGGGCCTCCAAATCCGATCTCCGCCGTTCAAATCCAAGACCAAGATGTTAAAGAAAAAAAGTAGCCAGATATAAGAGATTTGTAATTTCCTTCTACAAGAAGGAAAACCACTCTTATGTGCTTGCAAAGCAAACCTTGAACGACGATAAATCAGATAACAAACGAGAAATATACCAAAAGAGACACAAATATTTAACGCGGTTCGGTCAATTGACCTACGTCCACAACGGAGATGAGCAATCCACTATATAAAAAAAGAGTACAAAACATCGAGAGAACAACCTCACGAAGAGGCAAACACAAGTGACACACTAACACTTGTCCGGTAAAGTTCTCCCTCTAAACACGACTCTCAAACCCCATGTGGCTACATTGTGGATACTGCTGAATGAGAAGAAAGGATCCTCAATTTATAAAAGTCCAAACCTTTTCCTACAAGAAAAGGAACTAGCCAAATATGGAAGAATTATATTTTTCTTCTAGGAATAAAACCCAATTATGGTAAATATGTTGTTCTTTCCTTCATGAGATAGGAAAACCAAATATGATAAAAAAAATCTAGACAAACACCTAACAAGATGGGACCATATACTTTTGTTTATGCTAAAATCGGAAAATATTCTCTATTAATTGAAACCCAGATAGGACACGAGACGGAAAAAAGACAATAAAACATAGAAAGGGAGACAATGAGCGCAAAAAATTAACATAGCGACAACTGAAACATATCCAAAGCAAAAATCAAATATGCGAGTAAGGCTTTCATTGAACTTTGATGCGTTCTAACACTCAGCAAAGGCAAAAAAACAAATGTCAGGTGATTCTTTTTAATCCATCAAAGTTTTACTGCATGGAGTTATTCAATACTTATGATATTAGAAAGTAGTAATAAACACCGGATAAAATAGTAGAAGTGCGTGCAGGGAATTTGTCCCTTTTCAATAAAGAGGGAATTGTTTAAAATTCCCAAGGGAAGAGAGAATCAAATAATAAAGGATGCACACCCACGCTAAATTCATTTCTCCAATTGGCCAACTTGTGACCTCCCAGATCTCTTTTGTATTCCTTCAGTTTAAAGTTGTAAGATATCTTGGAGCTAGCAATTATTTAATTTTAAAAGCTGGTGATATTTTTGTGCTGCTTTTTCTTTTTTGTTTGCTTTGTTAAATGTACTTTAGGATCTTTTCTTTTCCCTTTTCAATTTCTTTTTGCGTTTTCTAGGATCAGTTTTATCGTTTAGCCCATATTGCTTTTGATAATGAATTACTATCTCTTTTAAAAGACAAAATTTTTACTACTGTATTATTCTTTGCCCTTCACATCTCAGAAACTCTTTTTTCCTTGCAAATAGAGAGTGATCACCAGATGGGAACAGAATTATTTACTCTTATGTAAAAGGAAAATAAGACAAAAGAAAAGAAGAAAAAAAGGTAAATGAATGGAATCTGAAATTCTGTGGTTGAGATTTTGAGAATGGGAAATAAGGTGGGGCCAGACGAATTCATTCAGTGGGGACTGTTTCACCAAATACCCCCACTCCCATTGAATCTCTTTCTTTAGCAAATATGGGCCCCATTTCATGGTTAGCTGACTAAGCTGTTTGATCCTGTTCCCTACTAAGTGGGCGTTTGGACATTAGAATAGTAAAATTTCAAAACAGGGTGAAATTTTTTTCAAGTCAAAATGATATTTGAAATTTATAGTTGTGTTTTGACATAAATATAATTTTGGGTCTTTTTAAGTTTTGTGAGTGATTTTGAGTGAAAATTGTGAAAAAACAACTTTTTAGAGTTTTTCAAATTTTCGAAAATTTCCAAAATGCATCTTCAAGTGAAAATTGAAAATTTTATGAACAAACGCTGATTTCGAAAAAAAAGTGAAGATTTTTTGGAAAAAAGAAAAAAAAATTTTATGTCCAAACGGGCTCTTTAAATATAATACTAGTCTATTTGGCTGTGTTTTTTTCTGGGAAAAAAATTACTTTTAGCCTCCAGCCGAAA